CCCCCCCCCCATCGGCCTGCAGAATAAAATGAAGACAGGAAAGACCTCCCGGTTACCTTTATCTCTTGATTGTTAATTAGCATTTCCTTTCCCCATCCTATATACAGTATCATCTGCCTCAAACTTTAAACTGTTCTTCTAATTCATTCCCTCCTCTAAGCTCCCTCTCATTCCTTTATTGGAATGCAGCATTTCTTGTTTTGTCCTAGGCTGTCAAAATCCTACCCAGGTCACGGCAGATGGCATATCCATAACGCTTTACCCATCCCCTTAGTAAACAGTGTTTTCTCTTCTGTGATGCATACATTTTTGTGCATTAATTCCCACACTTCAAGCGTCTGTCTGGCTTTTAAAGTTTGGCATGAGAAGCCCTTCTTCCTTGCCCCTGTGTCTTACACTCAGCACTAGCTCAAAATTTTGGGACGAATCGACCCGAAGTAGGGAACTGATCCCTGTATTAACCACTCAAATTTTACCAGACAGCCTGGGAAAATCAGGCGACTCTGCGACTCCATGACATCACCCATGAAAAAAAGTCTAGAGGAATCACCAGTCTCTAGGGGGACCTTCTGTTGTCTCCAGTAAGCCTGACAAAAGGCAGGTGTGAGATAATTTGCCGTCAGGGTAGTACAGCTTCTCTAAACACCTGCAAGAGAGAAAATAAAACATGCCCTATTAAAAAGACGCAAGGTGGAATTTCCCAGTTACGGGATCGTCCTTCTCCCGAGGTCAGCATCGCTGACCTATTCCCACCTTGTGCTTGGGAATAGATGAAACACGCAGCAAGCAAAATAGGTTGGCACTGTGTCCCCGGCGTCGGGCTGCTCAGTGGTTCCGCACGCTCCCGGCCCTGCCCCTAGCGGCCTCAGCCCTGGAGGCTCCCAGGGAACTCCCGCACGTCTGCGCGCGCAACCCAGCATAGAGGGGCGGGGCGGCCCTGCGTGGCGCGCGCGGTTGCCGTGGAAACTGCTGCGCGCGCACGCGCTGGCGCGGGTGGGGCTGGGCTGGGCTGGGCTGGGCTGGGCTGGGCTGGGCTGGGCAGGAGTTGGGGGAAAGGCCTGAGCAGTAAGGCTCGCCGCCGGAGGAGGAGGCTGTGCCCGCCCACTCGTCCGTCGCTCCCCCGCTGGGAGCGCGCACGCGCACGCGCCGGCCCGCGCCCTTCTCCCTCGGGCGGAGCGTCGCGTCCCGTCCAGCACGCGCCCGGCTCGCGCGTTTCCCCCGGCGACTCTCTGTTCCCCGCACCCCCACCCCACGCTCACACGCTCCCTTGCCTTTCCTCCAGCATTTGTGCGCCGGTGCAGCAGGCTGTGGAAGCATCCGGGTATTTCCAGAGCCGAGCGGCGACCGGGCGGCGTCGGCGGCAGCCGAGGACCTCCCATGGCAGGAGGGGAGAGGCTGGGGGAAGGCAAAAGCCCAGCGAGGCGTTAAGCCCGAGCCGCCTCGGGCTGGGTTCCGAGGGAGGTGGATTGGAAACGGCTCTGGCGGCCGGAAGAGAGCCGGGCGCGGGGCTCGTCGCCCCTCTCGCGCATTCCGCTGTCCAGCCCGGACTCCAGAGATGCATCTGCATCAGGTCCTCACCGGGGCTGTCAACCCTGGAGATAACTGCTACTCCGTGGGCAGCGTCGGGGATGTCCCCTTCACGGTGAGCGGCGGCCGGCAGCCCGCGGGGGAGACAGGGACCGGGGGTCGGGGCTCCGCGCCCTGGCGGCCCACGCCGCCGCTGGAGGCTGCGAGGAACGGGGGAGGGGGCGCCCCACCCACGCCCCTTTTGCAGCCTTGCGTGGGGCAGTTTCCTTGGGGGCCCTGGGACTGGGTGTCCCGCCAGGGGACAGGACTGGAAGGTCTGTGGGGGACGAGGTGTGTGCAGCCGCCTCGCACCTGCCCTGCGTGCGTGCGGGGACGCCTGGTCTCCGTCGCCGGCCAGGAGGCGATGCTGCGCCCTGGGTCCCCTGCCCGAGGTGCCGGGGCGGCGGGGAGCCTCCTGATGCAGGACCTCGGCACCCACGAAAAAAACCCAGGAAAATCCGCCCCTTGCCCCTGACAGATGTAGAATGGAAGGGTTAGAGGGACAGTGGCCTGGAGCGCTCTCTTGTTTATCATGAGGCCACGGTTTGGTAACCCATGTAGCTAGAACCCAAAAAACAAACAACCCCCCACCCCCCCAAAAAAACCTAAGTCGGTGTGAAAATGTCTTTTTTTTTTTTTTTGGCATGCGTGATAAAATAGATGGAAATATAACATTTAGAACCTCTTTGATATCTAGATGAAACAGACATGTTTCTCAAAGAAACTGGACTCATCAGTCCTTTTTGAGACTAGAATGTTCAAAACAAGCCCTAGAAATTCTTTTTAGCCACACTCCCATCGTTTAACTTGAGGTTTTCTTTTCTTTTTCTTTTTAAAAATTATATATGGTTCTCCTTAGAAGGAACTATAGGCAGCGAGAACTCTACTAAATATACATTATTGATAACCATTGTGCTTGATAAAATTGGAAATAGCATAGTGATACGCTTTTTAGACAACAGGAACCCCTTTGATCTGATGTCTGCTTTCCAGCAGTTTGTATTTAAAACTGCAGAAATTAAAAAAAAAAAAAAAGAGCTCTGGTAAAACTGCAGAATCATTATGTAGCAGTGCACCCTGGAACAGAATTTATCTGCCGTTTAACATTTTGTGAATCATTAAGAATTACCCCACGAGGTTGCTTTGAGCCATATTAATTTTTAAATGTAACCAAGTTGGTTTTGTTCCAGTTTAGAATAAATTCTTTAAAAACAGGATTTACCTGACTTATATTGGTACACCTGTCACTCAAAGGTGTCATCTGTGTTTTGTTTACATGTGACTTAAAAGATCAGTAGAGAATTAAGCTTGCATTTCAAGTGTGTAGAGAATCTTTGGGGGATAGAGAAAAGGAATTTCTCTGTTCCTAGTGTATGCAGAGGGAGGAGGTCCCGCAGAATTACAGGAGCTGGCTTCGTCCATCAAGAAACAAATCTGGAACCTTTGGTTATGGGGTATTTTCCACTTCCAGGATGGTGGTAGTCTACAGCTTCCATTCTAAAGTAGAGTGCATCAAGGGGCTGGAATATCGAGTTAAACAGGGTTAAGATGCTGTCTGCAAAGGCCAGCGAGAAAACTGGTAATGCTTTGCAGGTGTGGTTATGCTGTAGGCCATCTGTGTGGCCAGATTCTTGGAGTTATTGTCCAGTCTTTTTCCACCTCCCTAATTCATCCTGTCACCAAATCTAGCTGACCGCACTGTCTATCAGATTTACTCCTTTTCATGACCATAGTCACCACTATGGACTGTTGGAGAACTTTATTTGTGTTGCTTAATATAAACACTTGTGAATGGCTTTCATTATACTCAGCCCTGATCACTTCACTTAATCCTCCACCCAGCTGCTCCGATAATTTTCTTCAAGTACCATTTCATCATACCAGTTGTAGTTTAAGAATATGTAGTTGTCCCCACTAGTCAAATTAGGAAATTTAAACTTGTCAGTTATTCTGTACTCTTGGACTTTATGTTTGATTGTATCTTACCTTGGCCCTTCTGTTACATACTGGTTTCTTGCTGGCCTGCATTTTTATGTTGAATCAAGAGTGTACTTCCTTTTCATCTTCTGAAATACAACTCAAAATTTACCTGGTTTAGGATACCTGTCACACTGATTGTTGTCTTGACCCTTTGACAAATGCAAATACAAACTTACTTTGCACGCCATTTCATTTTAGTACCATAGGTGTAAATGCACTGATCCAGTTATAATTTTGCTATGAACTAGAAATAACCTTTTGGGTTTTATGAAACAGATTTTCTTAAAACTGAGAATAAGCTGTTTTCAAGCACTCTAGACTGAACTAACAAATACCTTGAATGCCTATATATGTACAGATTAAAAAAAGCCTTTTTACCTGAGCATGGCATTTGGGTTTTAGCAATCAGATGAGAAAAACTGTAGTTCTGGATCAGATGACTAAAAGGGGCCCAGGCATGACTAGAATGAGTCTTGTGACCTGGGCATTTCTCAGAAGATTGTTTCCAGCAGTGTTCCTGGTTTGAACCGTGTGGGTGTGGGTGTGTGGGGGTGTGGGTGGGTGTGGGTGGGTGGGTGTGTGGGTGGTTAGAATAAAGGAAAGACTGCCCAAGACTCCGTTGCAGCTAACCAATAATTCTTAGCTGATGTTTCCCAATACCTGACAACATTTTCAAAATAGGGTAGATTATTTATCCTGGAGACTATAAACTGAAAAACTTTGAAGGATGGAATTGTTCTTGAAAGATTTTCAGGTGGTTATGACATTGTGGATGGCTCTCTTGGCTGGGTAGTGAATGACTGCTTAGTGATGTCGTGATGTCCCAGTTTGTGCTAGATTGACATGGTGATGTGGTTTGTAGTGTACAGCCCTAGTAAAGCATGGAGTTTTAGTGGTGACAGTTTTTTTTTTTGCTTTTAGTGGTCCTGGGGTTTGAACTCAGGACTTCACATGTGCAAGGCAGAAGCTCTACCACTTGAGCCATTCAACCAGCAGTTAACAGCAGTTTTTAGACAATAGTCAATTGTGGTTTTATAAATACAGTTGCAGAGCATAGTTTGAAACATCACCTCTTCTCTCTCTTCAGTGTAAGGTCAAAGTTTTGGAAATACTGATATTCTGCAGTAAGTCAGATCCTGGGTAGGGTGAGGAGGTGACCGAACATGATTGACCTTTATTATACTTTATTTCGCCATTAAGATATTTCTAATTACATGTCAGATAAATGACATTCAGGTAAATGAATGATGTAAGGCTTTATGTAACACATAGTGTAAATTTCTCTATTATATTGCTTACTGAGTTCTTGAAAAATACTGTTTTTTTACTTTTCTGTAAATATTAAAATAGTAATTAAGATAGTGACGGTACTGATTAATGTAATTTAAAATTTTCACCGTTTTGGCCCTTTGGGGTGCTAACTGTATTTTCAGATGTAAAGGGCTGTTGATGTTATTCCAGTCTTTTTTTTAATTAATTTTTTTGTTAGGCTATAATTCGCTATGGGGGGGCAATTCATAGTGACAATTCCAATTAGACTTATATTGCACATTAGTTATATTGCCCCCATGGTCTGTCCCCTCAGCTCCCTCCCTGTTATTCTAGCCTTAAAACACCTGGATCAAAGTTTACAAAAATTAAATAGTTTCCATTCTCAGGGAGTTTATAATATACTGGCAGAGATTAAAAATGATGTACATGGCTAGAACATGACTCAAAAGGTAGAACCTTGCTGCCTGAGGTCCTGGGTTCAATCCCCAGGACAGCCAAAAAAAAACAAAACAAAATACTTCTTGGCTTTTGGTAAGATCGAGTGTAGTGTAGACGTTTTAACTGTGTGTTAGTATAACATTGTACTCTTAGAATTACTGCGCAGCCATACTTAGAAAATGAGCAGCCTACTTACACATTTAGCAAATGTTTGTTGAATACATAAGTGTACTAGGCTCTGTGGGGATTAAAAAAAAAACAAAACAAAGTCCAGGGGTTGGCAGAGTGGCTCAAGTGCTGGAGCACCTTCCTTGAAAGTGTGAGGCCCTGAGTTCAAACGCCAGTATTGAAAAAAAAAAAAAAAGCCCTGAGACATAGTCTTGCTTTGAGGGAGATAATTAAAGAAATTAAAGAAGTGTAGAAACCTGCTAGTCTAATAGAAGAGTTAAAACATACACCTAACCCCAGCAGGCCAGCTGTGTGATATTACTGGGCATTGGAATTCTTGTGAGAATTTTGGAGAAATAGGAGGCTACTTTTGGCCAGGGATATCAGGGAGTTGGAGAGAGAAGTTCTTCTGCACTGGCTGAACAACTCATCCATCTCTTGACCATGCTGAGGGTAAAGGGAAAGACAGAAGTCAAGAATTTAGAAAGGACTTGTTTTCCAAGAGGAATTGACCCATTTTTCTGGGAGTGTACCTTCTTGTTTATATAAATTGATAGACAGTATTTCATGGGCTTTCACTTAGTGTTAGCTGGTATGCAAATACGAGGCTATGTAAATTCTTATGTCCTTGTGTAGATTGTTAATTAAGCCTTCCTATGGCTGGTAGGGTGGCTCAAGTGATAGAACACCTGCCTAGCAAGTGTGAGGCCCTGAGTTCAAACCCCACTACTGCCAAAACATACATACGAGAATATATACATAAATAAATAAATAAAAGCCTTCCTGCTTATGGTGGGAAGATCTTAGCAACTATCCAGAAACTTTGGTGTGGTTCTGAATAATGCCTTCTCCCGAAATAGGAAGTTGGACCAACTACTTTGTGTGATCTTGGCTAAATCACTTAAATTTTTAGTTTTTTTTTATTACCAAACAAATTCTTTTTTTTTTGGTACTG